TGAACAGAGAGGGTACAGTAGTAGTGTTCAATTACACAGCAGGAGAGTTGCCTCTGAGTCACTCCAACTAATCTGGCCTGAAGGTTCAGCTCCAGAGACTTTGGATGTGTGTGTGTGTGTGCAGCATATCTATTTCTGTAGACCTAAAATGTGTTTAATTGTGTGTTCATGTACAGGATTACCTAAAAGCAGTATAGTTATTATTACCATTAATTAGTATGCCATTATGCCACTTATCTGTTTGTCAGTCAGCTGGATTAGAAACGGTAAAACTACTGGTCCCATTTTCTTGTTACTCAGGGGAAGGGTGTAGTTAGGGTCGTATGGCAGATAAAAGCTTAATTTTTTACTTATAGAAAAGCTCTTGTTGAGGTCTGTGCTCCCAGAGTTCCCTTCCAATGTCATATGATACTAAATAAATAAAGCAAAACAGGAAATGTAATGTAAACAGTTGGAACAGTAGCTGTCAATGTATTTCACTGAAAGACCAAAACCTACAAAGACTTTATTCCTTACTGCAGTCCTGTGCCTCGTCCTTCCAAAATTCAAAACGAGCCAAAGACGTTGCACTGGATGACGTGTCGTTTGTCAACATGCGCAATGAAGTTTATTTTGAGATTTGAGTACCATCCTAATGCAGTCAATACTGACTAGAACTCACTGGAGCACCTAACGTGTATTCATCCGCCGTGCACTTTACTTCTGTTTGACTGATGTGAAGACTTTGAGTAGGAATGAATGGGCTTGGAACTATATGTCAGTTTGAGTGCTCGGGTAAATAATGAGAGAATTAAGGGGCCGGTTTACAGAGAAATGCTCGTTGGGTGATTGAAAGTCCTCAGAAATCTTCCAAACTTCTTGGACATTAGAATCGACGAGGGGGAGGGGTGGGGGGATGTCAAAGCATTTCTCGAACTTTCTGAAACCGATAATCTGGCATTTATAATATACTAGTAGGAACGTAGGAAAGCATTTCTCTGTGTCATTCTAAAGGGCATGCAAAACCGAAATATTAGATGATTTCATTTGAAAGATATTTAGATTTTAAGACTGACTACAACCATAAGCAATCAAATGATGTTCAAACACAAATATATATTTTTTAATCTAAGGGAGATATATTTTGTTATATATAACAAAAAAGGAGATTTATCTTCTATATGTTGAGAAACGTTTACATTTGTTTAGTAGCTTCGGTGAAGAGCAGCAATAAGTTGATAGAGCGTAAACCGTATGACACTGTCAGGCAGAGTGGAACAAATATGGAGTAAACTTCAAAACTACTCGAGAGGATACAAAGTGGAAAAACAGCCTTTGTATGGTATGTGTTCATATTTTAAACAGTAGGAAACATTTTGAAATCATCATAGTTGTTCTCGGCACTGCGATGTGCGTATGTACAGTAAAGTATATAAGCAGGTTGTTCTCAGGGCTGAATCCCCTCATTGAGGCTCAGGAGACGTTACACAAGACAACATTGTTCATTGGATGTGACAACTATTCTCACTGAGCTGCCCGAACGACGCCCGACAGCCTCACACACCTCATCAAGTATTTAATGCAAACTATGTTTCATGCATGGCTGTCTGCTGTGTGGTGTATGTCTGTGTGTGTGTGTATGAGAGAGAGATTTGAACAACTCTCGATAAAAGCAATTCACCGGCAGAGGATAGCAGTGCATCCTCTCAATCTCCCTGACACACACACACACACACACACACACACACACACACACACACACACACACACACACACACACACACACACACACACACACACACACACACACACCACACACACACACACACACACACCACACACACACACACACACACCACACACACACACACACCACACACACACACACACACACACACACACACACACACACACACACACACACACACACACACACACACACACAACACACACACACACACACACACACACACGGCGAGGAAGAGGCTAAATTACATGAGACTGAATAAATGTTCTGACTGCAGTTTGTTTTTTATTGCACATTTTATTTTTGAAGGGGATAATTGTGCTTTAAACTATTTCCTACCATGCCTACAGCAACTCCTTGGCTGTGAGGTTAACAGGGAATAAGCTCTTGTTATTGGTAAATGGAGAAATTAACATACAGTAATGTATCTGTATGAAACCAATTCATGTAAGCATTAACGATGCTCACACACTGAGGGCAAGGCCTCCACCACTGGCAATTCAAGACAATGCAGCTAATGGTGCTGCTGAATTCAGTTCACATGAATATTTGTTTTATAAAACAAATAAGCAGATATTCCAAGGTAAAGATTCTCAAATGTCTATGAAAATAATTAAAACAACACATCTAGTTAAAGCATCTGAATGCTTAGGAAATACATTAGTAATCGCAGACTAGTTACATCTTTTGGGACGTGTGAACAGCATTTTGAGTAAGCTCTTGTGAAGTGTGAACTTGCACAACACTGTCTGTGAGACCCAGCAGTGCTCACATTACACAGCACATTTATGACCTGATTCAGGCCTGAGTGACAGTTTTGCTTGTTTGAGCGCTCACACTGACGGAGTTGGGAGAGAGCGAGCAGGAAGGAGAAACACGACCTGCTGATCAGTGGATCCTGAAACATCCTGTGACTGCAGGTCTTTAAAGTCAGACAGAGAAGGTTTGAACATTTCAAGTGAAAGGTAACGTGAGAAACTGGACTAAAGTCAATTACAATCTTTGAGGTCCCGTTTTTGCTTTGTTTGTCCAACACATATGGCACTAAGCGGTTATTGCAATATATCTGATATAACAGTATAAATGTTGAAGATATGAAACTGAGAGCCTGTAAAAAAGAGATTTTCCTGGTTATTTTCCAAACCAGAAATGTATGTATGGCCCCCTCCAACCATTAAAATGACACCCCATATGACTGCCAACAGCTACTGGTTACTGAATAACTACCTGATGATGAAAGGCACTCGTAAAAAATGCAACAAGATGTAGTGTTGTGTTTATGGCAGGGCACCAAGTAAAATATATCCCCTTTCACCTCCATCATGTCCAACTGACTTGTTTTGGTGTTGGGAGTAATTGAGGCCGTGCCCAGAACAAGCTGTAAAAGACAAATATGCTAATAGTTGACAATAATAATGAGTTAAGCTCTTAGAATTGCCACAGTGAGACCACTTGAAATGTACTTTGGTTAATCTGTATTTTTTCTAAGCGATAATTAGGCCAACGTAGGGAAGCTCTTAAGCAGTAAAAGGACTTTGTTGTTTTCCTTTCGCTAGAACATGAAACATGACAAAGTTGATGCTCCTCCATGTCTACAGTCACTGAAAAAGAGCTCCAACCCTTACAATGAAAATATAGGAAGTCAATAACACAATCACATACAATGAAGTGCCATTTCACAGCCTCCCCTGCCCGCTGCGAGGTCCTTGATTTGCATTGGCCTCTGCTGCCAGGGCTCCTCATTTTTCTCACAGCTACAGGTGTCCCACTGAGCCAGGTGTCAACCCAAATGGCAAACATAATCAACTCCCCCAGGTGGTCTCATAACTCACATGTCAGCAGCCTCTCTTGTAGCTGTCCCCTGGAATAATGTATTCAATGAAGCTTCGGATGTAGTCTCTACTGCCAGGGTGCAGAACTCAGTTATCTAAATGACTACAGGCACTTCTTAGTGGCATGCAGCACACATTCACACACCATTCTTCCTTTCAGACTTTGGATTTATGTTCCTCGAAAGCTCAAACCAGAGCTGACCACACAGATGCAGAAAACAAAACATTGCATGTCTTAGGAAGGATTAGGATGGCTGGGCCCTGAATGCTTGGTCACATTGTGTTTGTACTAAGAAAGTCGGACAGAAATGTCCACTCTCTTTCTGTCCCGTGAGGATTAGAAGAGAGTGGCTCTTTAGCCAACTGACTCGCGAGTGGCTTCAGCTGGAAGAAGAAAGAGACACTGAATACATCTATGGTGGTGGCATGATCCTTAGAGTGGGATCTAATCTGGTGATTAACTTTAGTCAAGGATGAGTTAAACATATAAAATGGGATTTACTGTCACTTGGGGTCTCTCAATCAAAACACGAGTTTGGTGGCATTCATTTCTGCTTCTCCCGTTTACGATTCCTTTATTGTTATTTGTTCAGGAAGATCCGAATTACGCAAACACGTCTCACCTTATTCAATCGAACAGACACGGTGATACAATTAGTAAAATACTAGTGGTGGAAAGAAACTAAGTAAGTTCACATTAAAATCAGAAAACCATAACACTGATGCATGCTCCAAGGTGATACTTGCAGGCATATATGACATAGGTCTAGTTAAAGGTCAACGGAACTTGCCTGGATTGCCAAATGGCCACTAGCGTTGGTGCATCAAGTCTCGTTTCCTTCATATATTGACACCTATTTGAGGTAATGTGGACAGGAATATCTCGCAATTGAATCACCAAACATTTGATTAACAGCTAACCTGCTCCACCTGGCTTCAACTGTAATGAATGTTACATTGATATTATTTACATTTTCATAATTTTGATTTGGTTGATGATATCCATCAGTTATGTGGTTCTCATGAGGCTTCTTTTCTTCATTTTTAATAACATAATATTGTCGACATGATTCTTTAATGTTTTACTGTTGTACCACCGTGTACAATGTGCTTTGGTAATACTATGTTTCTGATATTGTCATTCCAATAAAGCTTCTTTGATTTTGAATTTGCCCAGAGAGGATTAATAATGTTGAGGAAGTATAACAAACCTTTTCTTTGTGCCCCAAGGAAAACCTCAGAACCAGAATACCTTAAGAATAGGAAATAAGCCACAAAAACAGGGGGTACAACGCAACACACTGACAGGTAAATGACACCAAAACTATACTGTCAGGGAAACATGTTCAAGTCCCAGCAAGGAACGAAGCTCCCACAGTTTCTAAAGCCCAGCTGACAGCCGCAAATAATGTCTCAGTGATTAAGTAAGAAAGATCCCTCACCAGCGAAGTACCTCCCAGCAGCAGCAGACAATACAGTCAGCATGAAACTCTTCACACACCTCGGACAGCTCCTGCACCGCTGACAAATCCACAATCAGCACCTCGGACAGAGACACAGAATACAAGCCCTGTGATGTCTTCTGCAGAGCACGATAACATAACGGGAAGTGTTGACTTTATGTCTCCTCAGCAACAATAATCCAAACACTTGGATTCCTGTAAATCAAGAAAATAGCGGGTAATACATATAAATGATGTGTGTTGTAGTAGTTGCACAGTTGGAGAATAAAGAATAAATATGTTGAGCTCCTGTTGGTCAGTGAACAATTTAAAACAGCAGGGTTCACTCCTGCTGCATGACTCCATTTGTAAACACCTATGTGGTTACAAGTACATCATTTAGGGCTTCAGTCTGAAAATAGTCCTGAAAGGTCGGTTTACTCAACTGAAAGACATGTCACTGGCACTGGTTCTTTAATACATCTCTGACTCAATTTATTCAAAAACATAATCACCATAAAATGAAGCAAACCCTTTTCCAATTACCCTGCTTCACAGGTTTGTCATTGCTGTATCTTAGGAGGTAGGTAATGTTCACTATTGATCATGTGACCTATAGATCAACATACGTACAAGTTATCCCAGAAAACTACAAAAACAATGTCCATTAGTATCTGTTTCTAGAGCTTTTTATCATATCACATGTCAGGAGATGTTTTGTCATAAAATGACAGATAATTAAATTCAAAATGTTCTAAGCAATTTAAAGACTTCTGTAGAAAAAAAACTGCAATATTTGTTTATTTATTTATGACTATTCTGCTTCAGGAAGGAAATTCTTCAGATATGATTTGCCTAGTTTGGGAGAGAAAGCATATTTCATTTAAGACTGAGTACGGAGCCCTGGAGGGTTCATAGAGAGAAAAATAAATAAAACGTGGCCAGGTTTTACTTTCTCGTTCGCACGAGATACCTTCTCGTGCGCACGCTTTAGTAACTCGTGCGCACGAGTTACTAAAGCGTGCGCACAAGTTACTAAAGCGTGCGCACAAGTTAATAAAGCGTGCGCACGAGTTAATAAAGCGTGGCCTCGTTTTGTGTGGGTGTGTGTGTGTGTGGGGGGGCATTTGTTTATGATAGTTCATAGTTCGTTCCGGTGCACTCCGGCAGGACTATAGCAAATCGAGATTAAGATTAAACAAATTTCTTTCACTTGGGAATACACTTAACTATGGAGAACCAGATTTGTGTAAAGTACTGTTCGTGGTAATTTGAAAACAAATGCCGGTGGTGTCGGACACAGTGGCGCCAGCAGGGGGGGGGGGCAGGGGGGCCATGGCCACCCTGATATATTTGTTGGCCCCCCCACCACACACACCGCCTCGCCAGTCACGTATGCGTAGTAGTTTATCTGATATTTAACAACAAATACACAGCCAGCGAGTCGCTTCATTTGAGTTTCCAACGCTCATACTGCAGCCCCTCCCTCTCCCTCTGCTACCATGGTAACACTCTGATACTCGGCGCACCACTCTGATACTCGCGCGCACCACTCTGAGATTCGCAACAGACAGCAGCAGGTTGCAGCAAAACGTTTCTTTCTACTGACTGGACTGGAGTTGACAAAAATCCACCAGACTTCTAGAAGGTAAGTCGTATACTTTCGTAGCCTGTTAAGCCCCACAACACTTTAGGCCAGGGGTAGGCAAGTAAGTTTGGCCGTGGGCCAATTTTTTGCTGAGCCGCAAGATGGCGGGCCAAAACATAATCAAAGCTTAATTCAAGGAATTGATTTTGGTAAGAGGGTGCAGCGCCCCTGTTCCCCGGTTCAGAAAAAACTCTGATATCGCTGATAAGCCTCCCCATCAACACTCTGATGCGCAGTCAGATCCGCTGATTGGTTCACTGATGATATAGGCGCCCAATCCAGAGCCTGTGGCTAGACCCGCCCAAAGGGAGGCTCGTCCTCTCTAGCCCCATTTCAGTCCCAAAGCTAGGGCTATTATCTGTATTTTAACAGACTTATCTTTTAAATTGAGGTGTATTTATTGTTCTCTTCAAAGTCTATTTTTCTCTGAAATTGTAGGGAGGATGTTCCTTCCTTTCCTGAATGGACGAGCCTCCACTGAGTAAAGTAACTAGCAGTGTTATTTAACATGCTTTTATTCTGATAAGTATTGTCAAGTTCTCTGGGTTTTTGGCATTTATTTGAGTGTTTGCCCACATTTGAGAGGCTTGAGGGACAACTGGAATCCTTTTTCCTTTTCTTTATTTCAACTTTTCAAGGACACATTAGGATTCTTTCAGGTTGAAAACCTTTAAAAAATACCAAAGGACAAAATAAATAAATTACAGCAGTTTTGCTTTGCAATTTCATATATTATAGCCTAAATTATTCACTAACCAAGTATTTTACTCAAACTCAATGTATTTAATAGTTAAATAAGTACTTTAATTAACCTGGTTCCCCCCAACCACACATTTGCCATATGTGACCCGCTCTATCGAAATCAGTCGGAAGTCGCAACGGCTCATTTCAAAATAAACGTGGATTTGCGTAAAAAAATAGTTTTTTGGGGTTCGGGTGTTTTGTTTGATTTTATATAAACAAAGTCTTGGCTTTCAGAATATGACATTTGTATTTCCAAAATCACACGAAAAATACATGTTTGAAGCTTGTAAAGGGAAGATGACAGCTCTCCCTCCACTCTGCTCTTCCACAGCGCCGCTTCCCCTCCCTCCGCTGACATTATGAATGTAAGCGGATATGTCGGGACAGAATTTATTTTACCGGACAAATTTGAAACTTACCGGTCATGTTTCAATAATAATAAGAAGAATTGTGTAGCAGAGTTTCCGTTAGCAGGTAATCACCGGACTAGGACCGGATATGCTGATGTTTAAAACTCAGTTAATGGGGCTCATTTTTATATTGCTTCAGATTATAATCGTTACAGATCAAAAAGTTCAGATTCATTTTTCAATAAATGATTCCACAAACAACATAATTATTACATTCAAACAAACTACTTGTAGTAGATGAAGTACATTATTCAAAAGTTTACAATAACTTTGAATAATAACACGGGAGAAACGGATGCTCTCTTTTCCTCTCTCCCTCTCTCTCCTGACAGCCCGTCAGTTTCTCATGCAGCTCGCTAAACAGTGGGCGGGGCTTCAGGTGATCATGCAGAGCTGCGTGTCTCCATCAGACTCAGCAGCTGATCTGATCTCTCTCTCGGGTCCGGTTACACTTCACTCGCGTTTATGTCCATATCGATCAGATCCAGCTCTCCTGATCGGCCTTTATAGAGAGCACCGATCAAACTATTAAGAGCGAATATCGGCCGATAATGACCGGCGGCCGATAATGACTGGCGGCCGATCGATCGGCGGCTAACGGAAACCCTGATGTGCGACTGTCGGTCCTATGTTGTAAAAAAAAAAAAAAAAAAAAAAAAAAAAATCTAAATAATATTTTATTTTTGATTCTCAAAATTACGGGCCAAATATTATTGCTGGCGGGCCAACAATGGCCCGCGGGCCGCCTGTTGCCGACCCATGCTTTAGGCTTTAGTGTGTTAGCTTTAGGTAGCAAAAAACGGAGATATGCTTACCTTTAGCTGTTATTCTGATCAAAACTTGTGTTCAATGGCATTAAAACGAGAAAAACGCTGGAAGACCTGGAAAACAGGCTCGGGACTCAGTTAAGGCTGGCTTGACTTCAGTTATAATTCGTCTGTAAACACACTTTGGCAGCTTGAGGATTTTAAACATTAAACAAAATTATTATTATTTTAATATATTTATTATGCAATACCCGCGACCCGACCCGCATCATCTTTGTTTTACCCAGAACCGAACCCGGAAAAAAGCGTTTAAAAAAATACCACCCGCGAATCACCTTTTTTGCGGGTACCCGACCCGATGCAGGACTCTGGCGTAGGCTACTATTAATCACTGCTGTGTGTAATGTCAATTTGCAGAAAATGAAGAGAAAGTCAACAGACATCTCTTCTTATTTTAAGAAGAAGATGAGTAAAGGAGAGACAGAGCTGGCAGGGGAGCAGCAGCATAGGGCTAGTGAGGAGATGGCCATACATGCTAGAAAGTACAGTTGCAAGAAAAAGTATGTGAACCCTTTGGATTCTCCACACATAGCGTTGTGTGTTCCTTCCAAACAACTCAACTTTGGTTTCATCTGTCCACAGAATATTTTGCCAGTAGTGCTGTGGAACATCCAGCTGCTCTTTTGCAAACTTCAAACGTGCAGCAATGTTTTTTCTGGACAGCAGTGGCTTCCTCCGTGGTGTCCTCCCATGAACTCCATTCTTGTTCAGTGTTTTACGTATCGTAGATTCGTCAACAGAGATGTTAGCATGTGCCAGAGATTTCTTTAAGTCTCTAGCTGACACTAGGATTCTTCTTCACCTCATTGAGCATTCTGCGCTGTGCTCTTGCAGTCATCTCTACAGGACGGCCACTCCTAGGGAGAGTAGCAACAGTGCTGAACTTTCTCCATTTAAAGACAATTTGTCTTACCGTGGACTGATGAACATCAAGGCTTTTAGAGATACTTTTGTAACCCTTTCCAGCTTTATGCAAGTCAACAATTCTTAATCGTAGGTCTTGTGAGAGCTCTTTTGTGCGAGGCATGGTTCACATCTGGCAATGCTTCTTAAGAATAGCAAATTCAAAACTGGTGTGTATTTTTTATAGGGCAGGGCAGCTTTAACCAACACCTCCAATCTCGTCCCATTGATTGGACTCCAGGTTGTCTGACTCCTGCCTCCAATTAGCTCTTGAATAAGTCTTTATCCTAGGGGTTCACATACTTTTTCCACCCTGCACTGTGAATGTTTACATGATGTGTTCAATAAAAACATATAATTGTTTGTGTGGTATTAGTTTAAGCAGACTGTGTTTGTCTATTGTTGTGACTTAGATGAAGATCAGAACACATTTTATGACCAACTTATGCAGAAATCCAGGTAATTCCAAAGGGTTCACATACTTTTTCTTGCAATTGTACATGTGGAACTCTGTTTTGTAAAAGTGAAACTAAAACCTAAGTACAGTTTTATTAATGTGATTGTGACCTTTGTAATCATTTAAGTCTTCTACACACTTTAGGTCTGCAGCTCCTTCAAAATGAAACGAGAATCTATGCAGTTTTTCCTCTTCTGTGTTCTGAGGTTATGAGCCGACCATTAGTC